TTAACTCCTTAAAGGAGTAGTAACAATGTACTCAGCAAGCTACTGCTAAGTGGTTGAACAGTCATACAGGTTGGAAATAAGACAACAGTTTTGACCAGATTATCCAATTACTATTATTTGGAGGAATAACTAAAAGTGAGCACACTTGGAATGGTGCAAATAATCTATTATTGCACAAGAAACTGTGTACACAATTACAGCAAGGATGGCAGGGCATGAAGTGGATCTGTAAACTGTGATGGAGTGTGACTGCTCTTGCCTTTTTGGATGCATTTTTTAATGATGTCATCATGTTTGAAGTTCTCAGCAATCAACTAGCATGTTCTTTTCATGATAAAAATGACAAAGTCAGAGCAATAAATCAGCCAGTCCAATATCAGGCTATAATGAATATACTGGCCGATAAGTACTGAGAAAATAACTTGGTTTGAGGTCTTTTGCAAGTTTGTCACTATTACACAGTTTGTTCACCAGAAAACACTGACAAGTTTGTCTTTAGAAAAAACAATATTATTGTCAATATTATCAATATTGTCCATGTAAAAATACAAGATTTCCAGTAGAGTGGCTTTTACTAATAAGAACTAGACTCAAACTGCTGTAATGAAGACATTAAGAAAAGAATTCACTTACACACAAACACTGAATAAACAGAGCTGCTTCTCATTGGATGTTCAAGGGTTTCTGTTTATATGTACAATCAAAATCACAGTTTTAACAAAATATAAAATAAATAACATTAACAATACTAAGATAAATGCATTCTGAGTGACTAGTCTGGTTAAGACATAGGATCTTTCTTTTAAAATTTGATGTCTCTGCCTCCGCAGCCAACTACAAACATTTGTTTTCCTCAAACTACATTTCCAATGAAGCACTGGATGTAAACATCCCATCTCACAAAGTATCTTCCTTTTTCCCCCCCTCAATATTTTTTTTTATTTCATGAATATATATATTTTTTTGCACCTGGGATTTCCTCCCACCCCCCTCCCTGAATCGACCAACCACAGATCAGCCCTGCGGCCGAGGTCAAAGGTGAGAGGTCACAGAGGCAGAGGTCAGCAGCAGCAGTGCCCATGTAGGCCACCCTGGTGTGTGTGTGTGTGTGTGTGTTTGTTTGTATTGTACTATATTTACTGGGACAATATTGACCTCTAAACATAAAACATTTTAACATTAATTTGCATTATAGACATATTGGAGATTTTAGAATTACTTGAAATTCCCAGTCATAGCTTTCCAATGTGTTTTTACCAACTAAATTACTGTATGAACAGCACTTTCAAGACGGAAAAAGGCGACTACACTAAGATCATTTTGACATAAATGCAGCTTAAATTAAGCTGTATTTGTAGCTGGTGGAGAAGAATGAACACATGTTCTGTTGAAAATATCATAGATTAAATGTTTGGATCCACTTATTCCTTCACATACTGAATTTTGTCAGAATCCAAAGTTGATGGGCCTCTCTTCTGTCGTGACAGCTCAGTCTGTGTTTTAAGTTGATGTCAAGAGATTTACATTAGGATCTTTGTGATTTTTAAGTTGAGATCGTATGGTTAAAAGAGCGCCAGCGCTCTGACATTCACGCGTCATAATTCATTAGTTCATATTTATAATATTTCCATATTAATAAATGTATATTTTCATACATAAATATTCTCATGTAGTGCCTAATGTGAAAGCTTGGACACTCCTCTTTATGGCTGCATATTTTGATAACATTCACAGACATAACTTGGTTAGAATCCAGCTGTTAGCATCTTATCTGCTAGCTTGTGGCTTTCTTTTCTCCAAAAATAAAATGTAATTTTTGGGCCAAAAACAAATATTTATGGACAACTGGGGGCTCATTATAAAGAACAAAAGTCTGTCAATTAAGCCAGCTCAGGCATGTTGAAACCAAAGTAACAATGACAGCATTATATTTAGTTGGTCTCCAAAATGTCAATAACTTGTTATCAATTTGGGACCATAACTAGTACCGCTGTACTAGTGCAAATTCAGGGGATTGACAAATGAACAGACCAATAATTTTTTGTATTGCCGACATCAGAATATGTCCATGTTGATTTCATTAGTAGCTACAGTCACAGAGACAGCGTGAGGCCTTTTTGGCTGTTAATGCAGACAGGATTCAATGATACTATGATAAAACTAAAACTAACTTAACATATGCATTGTCATCATAACAGTTTTGTGCATTTTCAGTGATGTGCTTACTTCTGGGGAGCTTTTAGAGACATTCCGGGACTGTTATGGTGACATTTTGTAATGCAAACGAATAACATAGGAAATGCACATCTGAAAAATATTTTTTACAGGTGATGAGCCAACAACAGATTAAAGGCAAAAAGCAAGAAAAAAGTTAGCACACTGCCTTAAGCTCCCAATATTTTAATTCAGCAGCAGCAAATCAAATCAAATTTTATTTGTATAGCGCCAAATCACAACAAAAGTCATCTCAGGACACTTTACAAAGTAAGGTCTAGACCTTACTGTTATCAATATTATTATAGGGAAAACCCAACAAATCCCTCTTGAGCAAGCACTTGGCGACAGTGGGGAGGAAAAACTCCCTTTAACGGAAGAAACCTCCGACAGACCCCGGCTCTTGGTGGGCGGCCTTCTGCCTCGACCGGTTGGGGTGAGTGGATAGAGGAGAGACAAAAGAAGAAAAGCTACAAGACACAACAATCAAACACTGATCAGGTCGATGTGGCTGGTGTCTGCTCATCAGAGACATAGAGCTCCAGGGCCAGGGCAACCTGCAGAAAGGTACAGGGAGAGAGAGAGGACACACTACAGGAGA